CCCCGCGCCGCCCGCGCCCGCCCCGCCGCTGCACGCCACCTTCTCGTGCCCCGCCACCAGCCGCACCAGGTAGCCGAGGGACACGAAGAGGTAGCAGGCGGCCAGGAAGATGATGGGGCGCTCGGGGTACTTGAAGCGCTCCATGTCGATGAGGAAGGTGGAGACGGTGGCGAAGGTGGAGAGGAAGCAAAGCACGGACCAGAGTCCGATCCAGAAGGCGGTGAAGGCGCGCTCGTCGGGGCTGAAGTAGGGGTTGTGGCAGGGCAGGGCGCAGTTGGCGATCTGCCCCGTCTTGACGCGGTTGTAGAGCGGGTGTCGCTCGCTGGACACCGACACCATGGGCGCCCGGCACTGGCAGCCCGGCTCGCAGGGCGGCGGCGGCCGCGGCTTGCGCGGGGCCTCGGCCGGCGGGGCGGCGGCGGCGGGGGACGCCTTGGCGGGGGTGCCGGGCTTGGAGCCGCGGAGCGGGGGCTTGGCGGGCGGCGGCGCGGCCGTGGTGAGGTCCGTGCGGTTGTAGTCCATGCAGAGCGTGTCCGGGCTGCCCTGCTCGGGGAGGCGGTCGCAGCGCATCCTGTCGGGCCAGGCGAAACCGTACTGGCGCATGAGCGGGGCGCAGCCGGCCTTGGCCCGCTCGCAGACGCTGCGGCAGGGCGGCAGCGGCTTCTTGTAGTCCTCCAGGCAGATGGGGGTGTACATGCTGCAGAGGAAGAAGCGCAGGTCGCTGGAGCACTGGATCTCCACCAGCGGCCAGAACTGGTGCACCTCCAGCCCGGCCTCGTCCTGTGTGTCGTGGTTGAATTGGTTGGGCATGTAGGTGTAGTTGTAGCCGATGCCCTTGCAGAGGGGCACGGTGATCTCCTGGCACGACAGCTCCTTGGCCGAGGAGGAGGAGGAGGACGCGGCGGCGGCCGAGGCGGCGGCGCAGCCGGCGCGCTGCAGCAGGGACAGGGCGGCGAGCAGCGAGGTGATTTCCAACAGGTAACTCCACTCCATGCTCGGCGCGGGGGCGGCGGCCCCGGCTCCTCTTCCGTCCCGCTCAGCAGCCGCGGGGAGCGCGGCGCCACAGCACCCCTCCGCCCCGGCTACCCCCGGGGGGGGCGGAGGGCGGCCCCCTCCGTGCCGGTCGCAGGTGAGAGGTCTCTCCTCCCTCCCCGGTGAGAGGGAGCCGCCGGCGAGTCCCCGCTCGGCGCCGGAGGATGGGRTCCGCTCACGGGAGGCCCCTCAGCCGCCGTCGCATCGCTCCTCGCGGGGCCGGTTTCGCAGGGGGGATCGCCGCTCCTCTCGCCGCTGCTCCAGCGCCGGCCGGGCGCGGGGCGGCGGCGGAGAGAAGTTTCGCCGTCAGCCCCCGGGCGGCGCGGTGAAGAAAGCTGAGGCGTCCCGGGGACCAGGCGGTGTCGGGCTCCCACCGCCCCGAGCGGGCGGGCAGCGGCGGGGCCGGAGCTGGGGCGGCCGAAGYGGCTCCTTTAGCCGCCCTTCCGAGCGCACGGCTCCGCGGGTGACCGCCAGCCGGCCGGTCCGCGTCCTGCGCTGGGTCCCTCTTCGGCTGCCCGGGCGCCCCGGCCGCGATCGCGCCACCTGAGCTGCGGGTCGAGCGCGGCAGCGCCTCCGCCAACTTCTCGCTCTCCGGCCCCGGCAGCGGCGCTCCGGCCGCCGCGCTTTCATGAATATTTATAGCGAGCACCGCCAGGCCCCGCCCCCGCCGCCTCGTCCGCCTATCAGCCGCGCTCGGGCGGGAGGCGGGAGGCGGGCCCGGGGGCTCCTTAAGGTGGAGCTGGCGCCGGACTGTGGCGGGTGCTGSTCGGTCGCAGCGGCCGCGGGGACGTGGCGGTGTTTGTTCGGCTCCTGCCCACGCGGAGACGCGCGGTTCTGCACCGCGGTGCGCGGGCAGCGGCAGCCAGGCTCCGCACCGGGCTGCGCCGGGGACCTGTGTCCCCCTGCAAGGGCTCCCGGTCAAATCGCAGTCACCGCAGTAGCAGTTTAAGCGGCACTCGGGGCTCCCTCCGAAGGGGTTTTCTATCACCTCGTCAGTGCCCGCGGGRTTCGCCGCTCGTACCGGCGTGCGCTGCCCCATCCCGGCCGTMCTACCCCTTGCACGTGTTTGGTGCCGGGGCTCCGGGCAGCTCCGCAGCCGACACCGGTCCCGCAGCCCCGAGCTGCCCGCGCTGCCGGCCCCGGCGTGGAGCTCCGAGTAAAGCGCGGCGGGAACGCAGCGCGGGATGCTCCGCCCGGGGTCGGGGCCGYGGCGTGTTATGGGTGACACGGGGACCTCCGAGCCGCGGGTCACGGCGCTCGCCAGGGCGTGTCAGACACAGGCGGTGCCGTGTGCGTACCGGGGCCGCACGGGGAGCTCCCGGTGGGGCGGCGGGGAGCAGCCCCCCGCCCCGGCAGGTGGACAGGGTTCCCAGCCGGGCAGGAACACGGGCGCAGCTCGGCGCTGGGCGCACACCGCCTGCACCATGGCCGGCGGCCACTGACCCGCAGCCCMGGGGCAGCGCCGGGAGGCCGGTTCTGGCACGGCCGCGGCTCCCGAGCGCCCGCGCCAGCCCGGCGCCGCGGCGGTGACTCGGCGAGGAGCCGCCCGCAGCCGCCCAGAGCGGCGTGTCCCGCCCGGGCCGCCAGAGGAGCCATCCGCGGCTCGATGCCCGCTCGGCCGCCACCGCCCCACGCCGCGGGGCCCCACCGCCCTCCGCCCCCGGGGAGTCCCTCGGCGCTTTCCCCCGCCCGCCGCGGAGAAGGGGCGGGCGGGATYCCGGCGGCCCCGCCGTGGCCAGACCACCTTAAGGGGCGCGGCGGCGCGGGCGCGGGCTGCGAGCGGCGGGGCCGTCCCGCGGGGGTGTCGCGCTCCCGGGACGGGGCGTTTGTTTGTTAATTGAGGCGCTGTTGCGCCTGRCGCTCGCACGGCGCTCCCGCTGCGGCCCTAATGACTGGAACCGCGGGAACGCGGCGGGGCCCGTCTGCCGGCGGCGGGAATCGTGTGATTCGCGGGGAGTCACACCGCGAGAAGCGGGGCCGGGGGGAGCGAGCCCGCCCCGGGGGGCGGTGCGGGGCGCCCGGAGGAAATGGAACGCGTGAGGCCAAACAGGGAACAATCCCCGGGTTGCTGGCTGAGCCGACAAGCTCCTGTCGCCGGGTCTGTCGCCGTGTGAGCGAACGCGCGGATTACCCCGTTAGGAGGAAATGGGCGATGATGGGGCGACAAATTCGCCCGCTGTGTAATCACAATTGATTTGCAATTTGCCGAGCGCCGCTCCCGACCCCGGAGCCCACCCCGGGTCACTGGGGACTGGGAAGCTCTCGGAGGCCGTGGCCGCGCTCCTCCGCGTGCTCGGACTAAGGAATCGATCCCGCTATTACAGTGCTGTTTCTGACCAAAATAAGAACTTTTCCGAAAGTAGCAGGTGGTTATTTTAGCGCTAATTTAGTTAACACCATTATGAAGTGTTACAAGATCGAATAATGCCCGGGGAGGAAAACGTCTGCCAGAGGACTTAGTGACAGGCAGAGGCTTAAAAAGTCTCCAGTCCTGGATGCGATGCTCCATTTTAAGAAGTGTCTCTTTTGCTGGTGGCTGCTTGAAGCGCACCTTATTTAAAAATCTCTACAGAATGTAAAACTGAGTGAGTCTAGTCAAGAGAGCTGGGCGAGTCTGTAAATTACCGCTCTGTCAGGATTCCTCTTGCCTATTACAAAGTACCTTTTTATGCTGAACTTAAACTCTACGCTACAGAGACAGCAGATGTGAGGTGATGGCTTCCAAAAGCAACACAGATGCCGTAAAATTTCCATTGCTATATTTCASCGAGGAAGCTCAGGAGACATGCTGAATGCTGCAGTTTAGAATTACACTGTAACTCCCCTAGAAATAAGAGAATACCAAGTTTCCCAACAGTACATTTGGCTTCATTTTTGCCGTCATTCATRTGCTCTTGTTTTCTTACAGCGAGGAAAAGAGATGCAGCACAAAGATACTGTGTCTTGAGGCTGTTCAGTAATGACAGAATTGGTAATATGGAACTTTATGGCAATTTAGTAATGACTGCATATCCAAATTCCCTAAGACCATGATAATTTTTAAAATTGTCTTTCAGGTATATAAAACAGCACAGCTGTGAGGAGGCTGCTTTGCTTTATGTGACTGAAAAACAGCCTGGTTAGCTCAAGACTGTGGAATCGGAGCCCATTGTGTGTTCCTCATACTTGGAGACTTCTCTGAAGTCCCTAGAAGTCCTGCGATGAAGGAATCAAGGGTCAAGTCTTTAAAATGGTTTGTGTGTTTATTCCAGAAAATTCAGCAGCTGCTTTTTCTGAAAAGCTGAGGTTTGCTATAGCAATGCAGAATACTTTAGAGCACTTTTTTTTCCCAGGKATTTCAAAACAGATGTCCAGTCATCAAATCATACAGAAATATAAAGCTGGCAAGAATGCTACAGTTATTATAACTTTTTACAAAGTTATAGATTTGATTTATTGTCAAATCTAGTCACTTTGTAACTAGTCTTTGTCACTGTAGATTTTTGTTACCACAGACACTCAGGCCTCTTTTATTCATAGTTAGGTTTGTCACTGGCCCCTCTAGCAATAAGCTTAAATTTTGTGTGCATCTGAAGCTTTGCCTTTGGGATTATATGCATCCCACCAAACCAGGTAGTGGTAACTACAGGGCATTTCATCCAAAATAAGTAAATTTATTCTTTTTTTTTTTTTTTTTTTTTTTTTTTTTTAAACTGGAAATAAAAATGCCACATGAAATCTTAGATTTAACATGCTATTTTGTTTATGTAAAAATAGAGATGTTTAGTTTATAAGATTGAAAAAAAAAATTTAAATTCCCACTGAATGTTCCCCAGTTAATTTTAGTGTGGCATTGTCTGCATTGGATAGGTCACTGAATGGTGCTTTTATAAAAATGTTTGAAAAGAAGAACTCAGTCCATGGAAATTGTTCAAATAATCTTGTTAGAATGAAGCCTTGACTGAAGGCAGTAATTTCATGGATTAAACCCAGAAGGGCTGGCTAGGCTGATCTCCTTCCTATCACAGGCCACAGAGCTTTATCCAGAGASTGTCTGTGCAAATGCTGGTTAGCTGCAAGACACAGGGGATTTTGCATGGACAATACATTGAACAACACCATGAAACTGGAAACTGTGGAACTTTTGAGGACAGGATAAACAGGAGCAGGAAGAAAGAGTATTCTTACAGGCCGGTTAGTAAACAGTAAGGTAGAGTTGTTGAATCTAACTATGTTTAGATTTCCTCTAAAAAGTTCCAATTAAAAGTAAGAGAAKCTGCTTTTTTCCCCCAATCTTTTCTCACATGCCACATGTGGTCCAGAACTGAGCAGCATGATGGAGCATCCAAGTATGGGAAGGAACTGATTTGTACATCTGCAACTTTGAAAAGCACAAATTATGAGCAAAAATCCAGTGCTGTGAAACCTGAAGAGAAAGAAATAGGGATGGGAGAATACAGTGTGCATATCTGTCTTACAGTTTGATAATTTTTCCTTTTACAAAAGTGAATAAATGGCATTCATACATCTTCTGAGTCAGCCTGTACTTTATTGTGATTCATGAGAACTTTTTGTAGGCAAGAACAATGTTCTKCTTACATTTTTTCAGGCATGTCAAACCTGATCGTGGATGGGCACAGTACCATGGTGCTACTGTTGTTCWGTGAGACACAAGAGAGACTTCAGGCAACAAGAAAAAAGGCTGAAAGCAATGTGCTGCAATAGCTACTCCTGGAGTGCAGTGAGCAGGTGGCAGAGRGGCAGGAGAAGCTGCTGGAAGAGTATTTTGCTGTCCCTTTGCCATAAAGGATGATGACAAAGTGATCSGTCAGTGCTGTGGGCTGAGGATTGCTCCAATGGTGAAGCTGCASGCTGTGGCCCTGAATGTGGCTGGAGGATTTTCTGCTGAACACAAGAACAAACTATGGTTAGATTTCTTCCTGAGGCTGCTTTGAATGCATGGGTTCACTAGAGAAGCAGTGTGAGCAGCAGAATGAGTATGAGAAGTGTAAGGAGTCAGTGGGAGCAGCAGTTTAGCATGAGGGCAATAGAAGATGAGCTCCTATTGAAGGGCTTTAGCCCAGCTCTCCCACACTGTGCAGGTTGTGGCCCTCTCAGTGTAATTGTGTATTGCTGCATTTTTCATTAGTGAAACAATGGGAGGAGGAAGGAATGCAAGAAAATACAGATTATCGGGATTATGGAGGAAAATAAGTGTTCTTGAGGGCTTTTCCCTTAATGTTATTTTTTTTTCTTTTCCCACCATTATTTGACAACTGTATTTATAATCCACCCGTGCTTCAGACTGTAATGCTTCATGGTGTGGTATTTCATACCTGATAATTCACGTGACTTTGGAAGACAAATTGTATGAATTGTATGAAAAACAGTCTGTTGATCAGTTGCCATCATATTTGGAGAATAACACAAATTTCATATAGTTAAATTGCTAACCATAATGCATGTAAGGTATGTATGGACATAGTGAGTAGGGTTGTTTTCTTCTGATTACCCAGATAACCATGAATTTACTTTTGGGCCACTGCTAAAACATTAGTATGTCAATGCCCTCCTGAATCTCAGGAAGGTGATGTGTGTTCAGGTTGGCAAGGAGAGGTTTGGTSTCTGGGGGTTAATATGAGAGGATAAACATGCACAACTCTCTTCTCAAAGTGAAAAGTGTGTCCAGGCCTCTGCCACACCAGGGACTCCTTCAGTTGTGTTTGTGATTCCCTCTCCACGCTCCATCAAAATGTAACTAATCCTCAGATATGCTCAGATGGCACATTCACCATCCCTACTCCCAGCATGGATTGGGAAATCCATTTGGTCAGTCTTCAGCTTTGGAGACCTCTGTTTTAACAGCTTGGCTATAAACCCCTGCAAATCTTCTGGTAAATGTCCCCTGCTGTTGCACTGCCACCTGCCTTACCTGTCTGGGATGTGGCCAGCTGGGATGGGCAGCTTCCAAATTACAACTCCCACCTGGCTTTAACGTGGTATGACATGAAATCATATCTGTTGGGGGAGCTAAGAGCACTCTGCCTATTCACTTCCTGACTTTGTTACTTAACCCATGTTTAGGTGACAGCAGACAGGTGAACAGAACATTGAACTCTTACCAGCTCTGAGTATTGATGCTGACAGGGTGAAAGAGCCACGACAGAGGAGATGGGGAATGCAGGGTTCCCTCTCATGCAGGGTAAGTCAGAGTTGGGATGGCTCAGCTGCCACACTCAAGGAGCTGTGGGGTGCCTGGTGAAATATCCAGCCCAGCCTGTGTTCAGCTCCGTGCCCACCTGATCCAGTCTGGTGGGAAAAGGTCGATGCAGAGACAAGATTAAGCAGTGTAGTCCACTTTGAGTTGCATAAGCTCTATGGAGACATCAGCTTACATGTATGCCCTCTCACAGGCTGTAACTTAAAGAAGAAWCTTATGAGGTGATGTGCTTATGAGTAAGAAGTGAACTGAAGAAGAAATGTTGAAAGGCATGGATAAGGCCAAAAGCCAGATATATGAGAAAGCAAAACTGTGTAAGTGATTTGAAGGGAAATGTGTCATTAAATCCTTGAATAATATGAAGCTGGTCACAAATTCTGATGCTACTTTTTGCACCTTGTAGGTCAGTAACACTAAAATTTAAGGGAATAATGTTTTGCATATGTTTGAACTAGCATTTTTAAAGTTTCACAGTTTCCAATCTCCAACTTTTGATGGATGCCCAGTAGTAATTTTTAAAATATTGARTGATAAAAACCACACTGAAAAATTCTTACTGAAATTACTTGTTGCCCAGGAGATAAAATGGAAATAACAGATGTATCTTTCATCAGTAATTTTGAATATTTATTCTTTGTATTTCATTTATTCTAAACAAATCTTTTATCTCTAGAGTTAGACCCTGACTAATCCTTCACTGTACCAATTTTKCTGGGGCAGCAGTAGTTGATTATTCCAAATATGAGTAAGGATAGCAGGCTTCRGCTTGTACTAATTTTGATGAATAAATTTGCCTGGAGAATGACAAATTGTGTTAGCACTTTTCAAAGATGTTAACGCTGTGCAAGGAGTCAGCATTAGGCAGTGTTTGGAACTGCTTATAGGGAGCTCTTAGGTGTCTAGTCTCAGCAGAAACTCCTAAAAACTTTTCTCTATTTTTATTTTAATGAAAGAATGGTGTGATTGGAAAGCAAGGTGTTGAAAGGAATTTCACTGTAATGGCAAAATGTCCTTCCTTTCATTTTACTCACTGAGTTCTTAAATAGGAATATTCCTTTGCCAGTTCCTTTGAATTTTCTTGGTTCTTAGTTGGCATAATGATGGCAGGAATAGTCCTCTGTGTGCATGGTGAGGGGAAAGAAAGAACTACCCCACTGGCATGAGATTTTCTGCAGTTGTCTTTTGTAGGTTCACAACAATGTTACAAAAGGTGCAGTCTTGATTGATTTCTTGTCTTTTATTTGTTTTCTTTATACATTTATTTTGCCGTTGGGGTGAGTGGTTGGTATTGTATGTCAGGAAACAGCCACAAGGGGAAAAAATACTAGAAATTTGCTTGTAACATTTTTCYTGGTAGTCTTAGGTAGTCTTGTGTGTTTCTTTGTCTTCAGGTCTGGTCAGGGCCTGGTTTTGCATGAGAAGCTTTTGGTTCTTCCAGGCGATTGTGGGGTTACACATAATAGCCATGTTGGGATAGCTGTTACTTTTKATTGTATTAGTCTTATCAGATTTATTCCTTCTGATTTAATTTACTGAATTAGAAAACTCTGAAAGGGAATAATAAGTGGAATAACTTCTTGCCAGTTTGCCAATTTTGCTGTACATATTTTTGTATTGCCAATTTCTTACATAGCAAGTGTAGCCATTGTCTGAATCTTATCTTCATCCTTTGCTTTTGTAAGGTGGGCTGGTTGGTGTTTTGGGCTCAGACATTAAGTTATCACATCCACTGAGCTCTGTTTTTATTTGGATTTAACTCCTTGGCTTTTAAACAGTTCTGCCAACAGAACTGTGATGGAAAACTTGAGACAGTTTAGTCCCGTTCAAAGTTTCTCTGATTTGTGGGTGGATGGGTCCAGCTGAYAGGTTTGAATCTGCAGGTTAGTGAGTAAGAAAGATCTTTCTTGACCCATGAAATTTCCTGAATGAATTTTCGATAAAAAATACAAAACTTTTTTTGGGGTTTTTTTTTTTTTGGGGTCTTAATTTTCCAGGAAACACCTCATGCTTTGACAGAATTCAGAAGACTGGAAGACTTTGTCTGAAAACTAAAACTTCTTGATTTGAAAAATATTACAGTCCTCCTCTGACACTACAAGTGGGATGCCTGCTGGCCCTACTCTGCAAGGCTGAGGCTGCCTACCACCYTTGGCACTATGCCATGTTCTTTCCTCTTTGAAGGGAGTGCTGGCAGTGGGGAATCCCTCAAAATGATCTGTCATCAGAATTCTCATTTAAATGGTAAGTCTAGTTGATAGAGATCGGCCACAAGAAGCAGGTAAGCCAGAGATACAATGAAATGCTACACTAGCATTTCTTAATAACATGCTACATTTTCAATCAAAATATTTTTGTTGATAAGTTTGGCTCTTTGGTAAGAAAAGTATACTTGCAGAAGCAAGTACATATTTAGAAATGCCAAAAACCCCCAAACAATCCAACCAGAAAGTGTTCAGCTGAAAGCCTTGTCTCCCATCAAAAATAGATGCAGTGGAAAATTTTTAAGCAGCCCTATATTTAACCTCCTTGGATCAAAATTCGGTTGTTGGACTGAGGCAGGCTTACAGAGTTTTTTGGCTGCTTTTGTTAGGGTGTCTGTTTTTTCACTCATGACATCTGCCTGCTTTTCAAGCTATATTCAACCTTGTTATAATTCTTGCTATTGCAGCATTTTARTGTGTTTGGAATGCTAATTCCCACTGGACTCAACTTGCTGGGGTATGTGCACACTCAGTTTCCTTTGAGGGGTGCATCAATCTTGCTCCTTTTTTAAAAAAAAAAAATTTGGCTGTGTTTTAATAAGAAAATGTGAGTACTGAGCATTGACTGTGCACAAAACAACATCACTACAATACAGTTCCTAGTTCTTYGCCCAGGGTAACCTTGCTTTGGCCTGTTGTGGATGCAGAAGTTCATGTAAGTTTAAGGGATAATTGGATAAGTGTTTGAGAAAGAAGGTCCATTGGGCAAGATAAATAGATAAATCACATCAGTCTCAGAAATTCTTGAGTGGAATGTAGTTGAAGGGCTAGGGAGTTATTTTGGGAAATACTGTATTTGATTTCTTTGCTCATGCTCCCTTCTCTCAAGTGGCTCGTGGCTGCTTTTGGAAGCAGGAAGCTGAGCTAAATGGACCTTTGATCTGAATTGTCGTAGCCATCCTTGGGTGAGGAGAAGTACACTGAAAAAATGAGAAAAATGAGTAAATGTAGCCTTTTGCCATCTGGAATTCACTGAAATTTATCAGAAATTAAACTCTTTTCTCCAAGGAAAGTGTAAGTCAGTCACAAAAGATATGAGCACAGGGATAGAGAATAGATTGTGATTCTGGAGTCTCAAATTTTTGTTGATTTTTTTTTTTAAAGTAGGTTTTGCAGCTTCCATTTCTTCTTTGTTTCTTTTTGTAGAAGTAAGAATTTGCAACAACTRTGTCTTAAGTACAACTGTGAACCTTTTAGCATGTTCTTCCAAAGCTGGTGGGTAGAGCATTATTGCCAAGTTCACTGGACCTTGTATTATGGCAAGAAGAGAAAACAAAGCAAATATTAAAAATCAGGGAGGGAAATTGTTAGTATGATCTGCATTAGTTTCAGTATGTGTTACTTTCTGTCATTAATTCAGTGTCAGAATGCAGTCTGTAGCCAGAAGCTACCACCAACTGGCAACATGTGGCATTTCTTAGGAAAAGTTGATATTCTTTATTGCTTGTTTTGTATTGTAACTGCTTTACAGAAATTTCCAGCTATTCTTAACTTTGTTTTCATGGCAGTTTAATTTAGTTCATGACTGCTAGGCAATACTATGCTGATTTAATTTTCACAGCATTAAGGATCAAATCAGTAAATGAGCATATGCTTAGTAAGACAGCAGCTATTTATTTTCTATATTTTTAATAAAATCTGCAGAGTTTTTATGATTTCCTGAAAGTATATATATTTAGTTTTACTCATGTGTGCTTAACCTAGATGTTATATTGACCAAAATAGGTGGTTTTTTTTTTTCTCCTCACATGGTGGAGACTTTTTATTCAGATTTCTGTCAGCACAATTTTATTATAGTACATTGTTAGCACTCRAAGTTCCCTTTTATTATTTTAGAACTATTTAAAATAAATATTTGCAAGAAAAGCTAATAACCAGATAACATTTGAAAGGAAAAAATAATTTGAGTGTTGTTGAGAAATAGATTCATCAACCCAAAGTGTGGCAGGAAGGACAATGGAGAAAGGAAAGCACAATATTGAAGCATAAGAGTGAGCTCATACAGTACCAGCTGCTCATGTGTGGAATCTAAATACTTCTGAAATGTAGTGCTTTACAGTCAATTAGCATTATTTCAAATAATCATTRTACAAGGAAGAAATTTCAGTAAATTAGAAATCATGAGTTGGAAAAAGTAGAAAAAAAAAATTAAGGTTTTCCCAGAAATGCAATAAAAATATGTAAATTATATTAAAATCAATTTAGAAATTTTATGAAGTCAAAGAAGATATTATAATCCTGCCTCTAATGTATGTCAAGAATGGCAGAATAGTGCAACCTCTCTCACATAATTTGTATGCCTTAATCAGAATTTTTTTTATAATGTCAAGAGCTGAGAAGCAAAAAGAGTTACCAAATCTGTCCACTCTGAAACTGGAAGAATTGAGGGGAGTAACTGGGTGTAAAATAAACATGTGTTCATAAGTAATTGGACTGACACTATTAAATTTCTTTCATTTCAGTACTAGGTAGTAATTACTTTAACTTCAAGGAAAAGAGAAGATTACATCCTGTAAACTTTCTCATGCAAAATAGTCTGTCCTCCTGTCAGTGAYGCTGATTACTTTAAAATGTCTGTTTGCTGGAGAAAAGGTTTGTCAAATCAGGTTCTTAAATGGGAGAGGGGATGAGAAAACAAAAAATCTGGTTTGCAGTGGGAGTTGACTTTTGGGGGTGTGGGGCAGAGAATGGACCATGAATATCACCATCTTTTAAGTGTTCAGTAATATTAGAACTGTTTTTCTTATGGGTAGTCCTTTATTGGCAGAAAATTTGTGAATTAGACAGTGAAAGAAAATGCTGTGGTAAAATACATATAAAGAATCYAAAGTAAAAACCTGGAGTTAAGGCATACATCTTCTACAGGTTTAGGAAATTATGAGGATAAACTGAAAAAGTGTTTCTGTGCTTAAAAAGTTTATTTGTCATTGTGTATATCAGTCTTGTCTGTTTTGTAGAACTGTTTGTGTTATCTAACTGGCATGTTTGRAACAAACAGTATTTTTACAAGAGTCACTAAATTGCTTTGGGATATACGAAATAATTGTTAGCTTCATGGGTATTGTTAGTTTTATGGGTAGTAAATCTGAATGTATTAATTTACACTTTTAAATAAGCTGCTTCRTTCTGCATGTAAAACAAAATAACTTCAAGATGCTTGGTTTTGCAATTAACAAATGTCTAGCTGATCAAAAATATCCTCTCTGGTATGATGCATGGAGATCAGGCTAGACTGTGTTGCAGAATAATGTGATTATAATGATTTCCTTAAGAGTGCACAAAAGCAGCATCTAAGTTTCAACTGACGTTTATTGACACACAGCATCCGTTGGGAGCCCCGTCAAACTTTCTATTCTTTTCTGTTTACCACCTCCTGCTTTTATTTACAGTCAGCATATCTGTTAATTAGCCTCTGGTAGAGCCAGTTCTTCTAAGAAGATCTCTTGTCTTCCTGGTGATGGCCCCATGAGGTGACCATGTACACACAGCCTGTGAGTGAATTAATCTTTCACTCATTAATTTCAGCRCCTGATTCCGCAATGTTTAACTGCTGGCTTGGTTTCCTGCTCAGCAATTTGTATTTGGARAATTGTGATCCTTGACTTCTGCTGACCTCAGTGTCATGGACACATCCCAGTGAGCTCTCAGCTTCTCGTGGTTGCCTCACTGAAAGTCGCTTCTTCTGTGGTTTTTTGGTTTCCTGTGATTGGACCAGAATGCAGAAAAGACACTGATGACTTCCTCTGTGTCACTGAGGTTATTTACCTAGTTTTTATTGCACATTTGCAGAATAAAATTACTCCTGCACTTCCTCAGCTCTCTCTGTCACACAATATCTGAATGCAGCATTTTGCRAAACAATCTGAAGGAAGGCTGCAACACGTGGATCTGACAAGAGGGTGCTCTGGTGGGTTCCACCCTGTGTTAGAGTCTCAGTCAGCCCTTGTGATGATCCAAAGCTGTTTATAGCCCCAGTCCGAGTGCTAGGGGTGCTTGTTGTACTGCACTTCTCTCACAGCACGGCTTGTTTATTAGCAAAGAAAAACGTTGTAGCTGTATTTGAAGGGAAAATTCAGGAGCAGGGTTCAGAGATCTCCTGCCCAGGCCTACAGTGAGTGCTAGAAGTGCTTTGGGAGGTGTGAGCTGATCTGTGCATCTCAGCGGGGTGCTGGAAATCTTGTTGTTTCAGTGTTAATGGTTGTTTGTTTCACCCGAAACCTGAGAAAAGAATGACTGCGCCACTTATTTGCTCGGTCAGCTGTGGGTAATGCCTCAAGYGATGACCAAGTTCCTCCCTTTTGCCTTCCCAGTCCTCCAGATCGGGAGTAGCCAAACTCTAAAGACTTAAGCACAGGTTACAGGTGCCCTTGGAATCCTGCAAGTGCAAGTATTAAAAACCATAAAATGCACACTGTGGTAATGTGAACATTTTTTCATAAATTAATGAAGGCTTTACTGATAAAAATTCACTGTTACAGTAAAAAAAAAAATAAAGAAAGAAAAAGAAAACCCCCCGCCCAATACAACAAACCCAAACCACTCAACCAATAKCATAATCCCTGGAATACATCCAGCTTTTGTGCTGGAAAATTACCTCAAAGGAGTATGATCTTCTCTCTTTAGTGGGAAGTGTTTTTGCTTATCTAAAAGGTTTTATGCTGGCAGAACTGCATTCCATTGTCTGCTTTTTGTGGCTAGGCRGTTCCAGGTAAAGTAACTTAGTTTTAAAGGAGCTAAAAACCTTAATTCCTTTAAATCAAATTCCTAAGACATCCAAATGTCCAGGATGCTGTGAAAAGAGACACAAAAATTAAAAATAGAAGGTGATTGTTTGCTACTGACGTTCATGGCTTTGGAGAGCAAGTGTTGTGACAAAAAATCAATGAAAAAGTATCAGTTAAAGTTTCCTTTACCACCTTGTGTTTTAAGAAGTCAGTGCCAACTGATCTGTTAATGTTTCATGGGGAAAGTTGATACTGA